ACATCCACTCAAGGCCGTAGCAACTATTCCGCATTGGTCATAGTATCCAACGTCTCCTTATTTCTCTCTTTACCATTCTCATATGTTTTATCTTTGTCCCAAAGCGGCGCATGAGAAGCGCAAACCTGATGAAAGATTGTTAACCTATGTATCGCGAAGTTATCACTATATAAAGACCAATTGTTTGCGTGTTATTGTATTTTCTTCACTCAAACATTATTGTGTCTCTACGTTGCTACCTTCCGACAGGTGCATACCTTTCATTTCCATCACTCTTAGTGATATCTAGCCATAGCGCTTTCCCTAAATCACTAATACGTGATTCCTTATCAGGTTCGCTAGTAGCTCTTTCTCTGTTTCTTTTCTTTCTCAACTTATGCTTGCTGCTTAATAGTAATTAATACTCAAACATTATTGTGTCTCTACGTTGCTACCTTCCGACAGGTGCATACCTTTCATTTCCATCACTCTTAGTGATATCTAGCCATAGCGCTTTCCCTAAATCACTAATACATGATTCCTTATCAGTCACGATCTCATTCCTATCTCATTAGGTTATGAGCCCAGCCCAATCATCTTAATCAGATTCAGCGCTATCAACAATTTCAATTAATGAGCGACGGTCAAACCACGACTTCGTCCGCACCTGCTACACCTTCCGATTTCACTATCCAACAAGATCACACCCACATTACCCAAGTAATGTCGAATCACACTTCTACCTCTGAAGCCATGCACATCGCTCCACTGGAGCATGATTGGCAAAGGTGGTCCCCTCTCATGCTCGCTCACTTCATGGAGGGAGACCTTGACGGTATTGTCGACGGCACCGAAGAAGAACCGGCTGAAGATGCAACTGCCGCCATCAAACTCGACTATCAACGTCGACGTAAGAAGGCAGCTGGTTTTATCTCTCGTAAATTAAGTCCAGAGAATCATGCGTTAGTCATCAATACGGCTAACATCAAGGATCCCAAAGCTATCTGGGATGCCTTAGTCAAGCTCTATGCCTCCACCAAAGCGCGTAATCGAGCTCGTATATTACGAAAATTTCTCAATCTTAAATGTTCCGACAATGCTCTTTCATCCTTTCTTACTGAGTATCGTAAAATCACTCATGAAATGACTGAGGTCTCGTTCAAAATTGACGATGACATCCTGGCACATATGCTATTATACAAGCTTTCTCCACGCTATCATTCCACTCATGATTTACTCGCTCACACCGCTGAAACTGCCGATACCCTTCTCACGCTTGATCAAGTATTCGAGCACCTTCAGCAAATCGTTCTTGATTACCAACCCAGCTCTGTTCCACCACCTGCCGCTCTAGTTGCTGAACGCCGAACTCCAGCTTATCCACGTTGCTTAAACGGTGTTCATAATCCTTTAACGTCTCATACTGAAGAGCAATGTTATCAAGCCCATCCTGAACTCAAGCCAATTCGAAACATCAATCGTTCGAATAATCGTAGCTCAGCGAATGCGACCATTAGTGGTACGGTTCTCACTACTTACGTTTTCAACGCTACTCTCACTGGAAAACCTGTTCTTGACTCTGGCGCCTCCCAATCCATGTTCAGCTCTAGACTTTGCTTTACTGATTATCGACCTTGTCACGCCGCCATCCATGTCGCCAACGGACAAACCATCAATGCCGTGGGAACCGGAACTGTGTCAGGATCTCATGACGGTAAAGCCATTTCTTTCACAAATTGGCTTCATGTACCGGAGCTTTCAACAAACCTGGTCAGCATGGTCGCCTTGGTTCGAAAAGGCTGTACATTCAACTTTACTCCAGACTCTAGTTTCAATGTTATTGTTGGTTCTGATGTGGTACTTACTGGGGACACCAAAAGTGGAGTTATGGAAGTTAACTTCGACATGGGCAAGTCACCTTCACCTTCACTCTCACTCACCGCTGCAACTCAAATTAATTCAGTTACTCTTCACAGGCGCCTAGGCCATCCTGGACGAGTCCCTTTGGAGAAAGCGTTTCCTGGAGTTATCTTTTCTGATTCTTGTGAACCTTGTATCCTGTCCAAACATCATCGCCTTCCATCCAAAAGCCATCTTCCTCTTGCTTGTGATCGTCTCTCTGTGTTACATAGCGACTTAAGTGGCATTATCTCTCCTCCTTCTCTCGGTGGTGGAAGATACTATTTTAAAATAACCGATCAAAAGACCAATTTCAAATTTGTTTACATTCTGAAAACCAAGTGTCAAACTTTTTCCTACTTTGTGCAATTCAAAGCTCTTGTCGAGAATCAAACCAATCTTAAAATTAAAACTCTCGTCAATGATAATGGTGGTGAATATACATCAAAGCAATTTTCCGAATTCATTAGCCATGAAGGAATCAAAATGGATTTCACAGCTCCATATACTCCACAACAGAATCCCATCTCTGAGCGTGGAAATCGTACAACTACTGAGAAAGCCAGGGCTTTACTCAAGCAAGCCAATTTACCTCTCGTTTTCTGGGCTGAAGCTGTTTCAACCTCTGTGTACCTGGAAAACATCACTCCCATTGCTCGAAACAACTTTCTCACTCCATTCAAAAGCTGGTTCGGGAAATCCCCTTCTTATTCCCATCTACGTGTGTTTGGATGTCTTGCGTATGTTCACGTTGGTAAGGAACGTAGAACTAGCAAATTTTCAGACGTTGCTAAGAAGGGTGTACTACTTGGCTCCCAAGGCTCGATGCATAACTATCGAATTTATCTTCTCGATGAGCATAGAGTAGTGTATAGTCATGATGTTGTGTTCAACGAAGAAGTATTTCCCTTCGCTGATCCAACTACATTACATGCGTTTAACAAGAAATTTGGCAGTTTTGATAACCATTTCCTTGAAGATCTTAATGATGATGTATCTTATGAAGAATTACTACCTTCCTCACCTATTCATCCACTTAGCGAAGACGAAGACATGTCAATTTCTAAAATTCCCTCATTCGACGCTGTACCCTCAACTTCATCCTCAGATCAGCCTGTACAAAATGAGTCCACTACTGATCAACAACCAAGCGACACACCCGTGATCAAAGATTCTCAAATTGAAGTGGAACCTCAAGTCGAAGATCAGCCTATCGAAGATGAACCTAATGAAGATGAAGAACCTCGTCAACGAGAAGAACTCACTAGTCACCCTTGATATGCTTACATTCCCGCCTCTGTACCTGCTCCTAAAGCCATCAGTAGCTCCATCGATACATCCAATATCATCACATCTAGAAGAAGGGCCAATTTAGCTGTCAACACACTCACCTCAACTCGAAGAGCTCTCTTAGTCAATCAAAATTCTGAACCCCAGTCCTATCGTGAAGCCATGAATCGTACGGATTCACTGAAATGGAAAGAAGCTATCAACAAAGAACTCAATTCACTCATCGAGATGGGAGTCTTTACGGAAATGGAGCTTCCCGAAGGCGCTCATGCTTTAGGTACAACTTGGGCCTTTCGGCGGAAGACGGATGAAAACAATGTTGTCATTAAACACAAAGCCCGTCTATGTGCACAAGGTTTCTCCCAGATACCAGGTCTGGACTACAACGAGACTTATGCTCCCACTGGACGAGCGGCCAGCATGCGAATTGCTCTCAGCATCTGTGGTATCGATGACTTAGAACTTAGACTCATGGATGCAGTTGGAGCGTTTCTGAATGGGATTCCTGAAGAAGTCTTATATATCAAGATACCTCAAGGAT